TTTTAATTACTCTCTAAAAATAAATTAGTCAAAAATGACTAATTATAATTAGTCACTAATAACTTTAGTATACTACAGTTATTAGTGACTGCTTTTTTACATATACCTTGGTTAACCATGGATACCATGGTATCCCCAACAGTTAATGGCCAATTCTTATGTAATTGTCCCATGAATCCGAAAATGTCGTCAAAAGTTATAAAAGTAGAACAGTTTTTGAGATATAGTCAATTTTCCATATAATATGGATTATGGAAAGTGATTTTTTCGTAAATTAACTTAAAATAATACGTAATACGTAATATACTCTAGAATTGTGATGATGATAACATACGCAGATAACACATAAAATATGAAACCGAACATTGAACAATAAAAAAACAGGGTTGCATGGAACCCTGCAGAATTTTTTATATTGCGATCCGCAATGTATGGGGTATTTCAAGTAAAAAAAATGTTTTTTTTTACTTGCAATATAAAAAATTCTGCAGGGTTCCATGCAACCCTGTTTTTTTATAATAGTTTTTAAGTTGTAAGGGTTTAAAAATTGTATTTTATTTTTCTTTATTTACATTTTGTAAGGATTAAACACAATTTTAACGTTTTAATAAAAAATTAAGTTTGTTTACAAAGACTTACAAAGTTATGAACTCTCGGAAAATACATCTGACCACCATGTAAGGTTAACATACTATATATAGATGCGTTGAAAATTTTGTTACCACCTCTAAAAACATCGATGCCCTGGTTGAGGAGGATTCCGGATTGTACTTAGTTTTGGGTCAGTTCAATGTTCTCCAAACCCTTCCTAAACTGGACGTATGGCCCGACCCGGCTGACAAAAATCCGTGGAGCGGCCTTAACCATAGACACTGTCATCCACGACCTCCTAGGGTGGATCTACCAGCCGGCGTAAAAACTTCGGATCCAACAAACAGGTAATGCTGTGATTTGGCGGGATACGCAGGAGAACGGAAAGGAGGTAAAATAACCCTGGGAGATTAGTGGAGGATAATGTCTTTGGGGACTGACATACGTTCCCATACTCATACTCATGCTCACCTCTAAAAACATCGATGTTTTCCTATAGGACTATAGTCAACATCGATGATACTAAAAAACATCGAAACATCGCGCGCCATCTGTAGATTTGATTTAAAAAATTTCCAGCAAACACAGTTACAACTTATAAGTGCCAGTACTGGTCCAGGAGCAGAATGTCGCCTTGCCCATTGCTGGCGCAGTAAAAATAGCCATTTTTAAATGGTCCAGTAATGGGCCGGACGACATTCTGCTGCTGGAACCGTATACTGTATACCGGCACTATGCCTGTGTTTGCTGGGTTAGTTCAATGCTCGGTTGTTGACTAAATTTTACAGGTTTTTGATCTTTAATCAATGTTATGTAATTTTTATAACCAATTTATAAGAAAACAATAAATCCATTGTGCCCATCCCTACGTAGGTTACCAAGTTTAGTCACATGAGTTGACGGTCTATGCGCGGTGGATTTGTGCGCATTGTACACTGCTTCTTCCGAGCGACGCTTTTCCTATCTATTCGCATATGTAGAGTTGAAGCTCTCGAATATGATCTTCTTAACAATGATGTTTCTTAAATCGGCATAGAAAATACACAGCATTTTTGTATTCTACGGTAATAATAGGTAAGTTTTAGATACCCCTGTATCCAGTTAGCCAGGCAAAGAAAAATTGCCACAGAAACTTTGCCAAGATATACATGATATATTGTTTATTGAGCAAAATAATAAATTTACAGACCATGGGGGTCTGTGAATAAATTAGAACCTTCTAAATTAGCCAGAAGCACAATGTCCAGTGACAGAAAATCAAGAATATCATGCCTCAAAAGCCATAAAGCTCTGTACCTTGTCCATAGTCTAGATCAGTGGTTCCAAAACAGTGGTTCGCATACCACCAGGGGTCCGCGAGAGCTAAATTAAGGTCCGTGAAATAAAGCTATAAACCTATAATAATTTAATATCAAAATTGAAACCTAATATTAAAAATAAATCTTCATTTATGTAGAGGAGAAAAAATTATTCTGCATTTGTACGTAAAGATACCACGATTATCGCGGATATACAAGACGTCATCAGAGATCATCTACAAATGCTGGTCGATGAATTTTATCGTTACTTCCCAAAAAAAAAAATCAGACCGAATCAAAAGAAATATTTAAAAGCTAATATCAGCTTTCGCAATCCTATTGGTATTGCTGTTAAAGAGCTTGCAGAAGAAACCCAGGAAGAGCCGATTGAAGTCCAAAATGATAGGATGCGTTTCAATTAATTTGCCTTAAAAAATTACAGTATAAAAATGCAATTATAATATCTTAAATTTTAAGGATTTGCTTTGAGATATACGGTTGGAATCAAGTGATGACATTCGTGTAGCTCTGAGTATTGCAGTATTGCCAAACTTGTAAAAAGGATGCAAGGTCAAAAACCACATGATTTTAAATTAAAAATTCTTTAACTAAATATCATTACAAGTATAATGTTAACTAATAGTTAAAATTCATTTTCAAATTCTAGGAATGTTTATTTTAAATGTTGTGGTCTCCGAACGGAAATGTCCCAGTGGTCCCTTTTTAAAGAAAGGCTGGAAACCACTGGTCTAGAAATAAGCATTTTTATGTTAAATGTAGTTTATAAACACTAATGTTAAAAGTATATAAACCAGTTATAAGACAGGGGCCCCACACCAAATTTAGTAGTAGTAAGTATTACAGTTGTTATACCATTTATAACTTTTTTTTAATTTAGTAAAAGAATCTGATTCACCCTTAATTAGTTAAGAATTAAATAAGGTAGCCAATTGCAGGCGTGCTTTAGCAGAATGTGGTGTGACCCTTTTATCTATGGGTGCGAAAAAATAAAAAAAAGTCAAAAAACTTAACCTAAAAACAAAAACACTGACTGTCAATGACTGACAAAGACAATTATGAGTTAAGGTCAACTCTCACTACGATACAGGGCCATATTACCCATTAGGCAGGCAAGGCAATTGCCTTAGGCGCCACGTAGAAATAGGCGCCTTGTCCCCAAGCAACTTAAAAAAAATAAAAATTGTTACCAAAATGTTTATTTTTTCCAAAAATAAAACAAATAAACAATATACAATTGTAATAACAGAATATTTTTTACTGTTTTTATTATATTATAAAAATTTAGCTTCCTTTGTAATAACGAGGTGTAAAGCCGACAAAAATCGTGCCACAAATTCACTTCTGTATAAACATATCTTTAGCACTCTTTAAACTATTTCAAAACCCCCGTATGCTCCAAGCACACAGATTCCTCTTGCATCGGGTACCCGCTGTGATGTGCTGCTCACCCCAGCGGGTACGCGATACTAGAGGAAACTGCTGCCGGAAGGACTTGGGTGTTTTCGCGTTTATTCAAGAGTGGCACTTCTATGTGTTGTGTGTTTGGTGATAGCAGTCTGTGTTCGATAGTTAAGGTCGATTTAGCCTGGCTTTTAAATTAAATTACGTTACGTTAGATTACCTTACACAAAATGTTGGCTAAATCCACATTTAGATAGTGTTAATTTTTCTGTTTGTTTTAAGGTATTTCTGAAATTTTAATATTAAAATAATTACAATAAACCAGCTAAAGTTGATTTAATTTTTTTTAAATACTTACTTATGACATCTTGCAGAAAAACGCAGTTATATGTCCTAACACTTTTTATTTACATTATATTTGTTATGTTTGTATGTTATTTATGTTTTTTTATGTATTTTTTTAATGATAAAAAGTATTCTAATTCATAGGGAATAATTAAGTTATAATGCTCGGGCGCCCTTAAGCTAACAGTTTGGGGTAGCTCTAATAAGCTTTTTTAAAATTTGCCCCGGGCCCCGTAAGTATAGTATCTAGTTAGAGGAGCCAAATTTTTAAGTGCCTAAGGCGCTCAATCGCCTTAAGCCGGCTCTGCTACGATAGTTCATCAGATTTCTCCAAAGTTTTTAGATTTTTAAGTAGGTATAAAAAAACACATGTTTTTTTAATAATAATAATAATAATAATACTTTATTTACGACAAAGTCAGTTTAGTACAAACATGTGTTTTTTATGAGTATTTAATAATCTACAAATTGAATATTATAACTTACTCTTAGTAAGTCAGATCGAACAACGCCAAAGGACTTTTCATCTTCTTCTTATCTGTACTATAGAAATATTTAACCTTTTTTAACACCCTGTAAATCAGGGTATAGGTAGTGTTGGAAATTCCTTAATCTCCTATAGCCAACAAGAAAGAGAAAAATAGACACAATTAATCACAATGCATATAAAAAATTAAGGAATTTCCAACACTGCATATATAACAAAACATATACATATTATGTATATCAAATATTTATTTTATACTATAAAATTTTTAATTCTAATGCAAATTGACGGTTTGTTAAATGTTAACTTTATGATATAATCCAGTGTGCTCAAATTTGCATAATAAAAGGTGTTTTTAAGACCCTATTGCCATTTTTGATAATATTTGTATATTTATGTTTAGTAATGTTAACAAATTTGGAAAATCATTATGAATAGAATTACACCAGAAAAATGCTTTCGTATCTTATAGAACGTTTTTAAAAAAAATCAAAGAATTCCCGAAACGCATAAGGAATTCACGTGATTTTTATGATCCACATAACACCTTTAACACCTTTTTAGGACTTAAAAAATATTGTTGACACTTAAAAAACCTAATTAGGTAAAATTTTTACTATTGTTCTTTAAAAATATGTGAAGAATAATTACATTCTAGAAACAACAATACAAAATTTAATTTTAAGAATGTATCTTGTTAGACGTTAGAAAACCAAAACGGAGTTGTTTAAAAAACACAAGTTCATATTGTATATATAAAACATTAAACAAGGTCTCGATGTTATGCAAAATCAGCAAAATGGAGTACGAATCATGGGAACCGTCTCTTCGACGTCTTAGTCTTAGTGACGGACGGAGGCGCGTGGTGGCCGATCAAAAAACACACACGATTAAAAAACTAATTAAACAAAAATTACACGCGAGTGAATGAGTGCATCAAAAGTGACAATGGTAAAAATAAAAAACAAACATGCAGCAACTTTGGGAGAACAGTGTAACAAAGTGGTAATTAAGTCTGAAATAAAAACCAAAGGTAAATGATAAATGTGTTGGGTTTGTGTTACGAGCGTGGGGTGGCGAATTCGCCAATTTGACAGAAGTTTTGTCTTCTCGGAAACCGTTGAAACCGATACTTTGAAAGCCCATGGGTCTGGAACGATCGTTCGTAATATAAATAAAAGTGCAATCTACAGTGTTAACATATTTGTTTAGGTGATACAGGATAATTTTAGTCCTTATAAGAAAAATATTTTAATATTGAATACCATAATATAACGGTTTTTATAAAAAAGTTTACCTAGAATTATTTGATTTGCAAAATAAGTGAAAAACACATTGGTGTTTTTTTTTTGTAAATTTATAAGTAAACGATTTATTTGAAAATATAATTAAATTTATATGGTTCTGCGATTCTACGACTAAGTATTTAAATTTATTAGCGATTACAAGTTCTTATAAAATTTTAAGCAGGTATATGGGTCAATATTTGATAATCGCCCAAAAAGAAGTAACAAAATTACTTCATATTTTAGAATTTAGATTTATTAGAGCAATATTTGCAAATACACACAACAGGAAAATAACGCTAGGGGCAGAAACATTATTAAAACAAAATTAAATCTGGTAACACTGCTCTCTAAAAATAAATTAGTCAAAAATGACTAATTGTCTTAGCGAAAAAGCAGCCACTAATAATTCTTGTCAACAGCAATTTGTATCTCAGACATTTAGTACCTAGTCAATTCCTTTGTAAAATTGTCCGCTGAATCCGAAAATGTCTTCAAAAGTTAAAAAAGTAGAACAGTTTTTGAGATATAGTAAATTTTCCATTTAATATGGAATTGACTATATCTCAAAAACTGCTTCACTTTCATAACTTTTGACGGTATTTTCAGATTCGGAGTACAATTTTACATAAGAATTGGCTATTAAATTTTTGGATACCATGCATGGTATCCAAAAATACCGTGGTATTCGATGGTTAACCATGGCACAAGTGAAAAAGCAGCCACTATTAACTATTAAATTAGTTATTTTTGACTAATTCATTTTTAAAGTGTGTGAATATAAACAAAATATTGTACTAAGGCATACAAATAGTACTAAGTTAAAATATTACCTACATTAAAATAATGAAAAGTGCCAGGGACCTGTTTTTGCCAATTATTGACCTATAGGTCAATAATATTTCATTAAAAAGGATATATAGGTATACCTATATATCCTTTTTAATGAAATTTAAATACACTAAATTGTATACATACATAAAATTTGTTAAAAACTGATAGCTCTAAAACTACTGTATTTTTTAAACATTAGTGCGCCATTTCCGGGATACCCAGCATGTTTAAAAGTTTGTTTGACACAAAAAATATTGGACTCCAAAGAAAAATGGTCAAATGGTTAACCTCACTTTTTACCAATTTTAAATATAATTATAGTCGCTTTTTTCCAATTAAAAACCCGATGGATTCAAATCACACTGAATATTAAACTCGGCCAATCACTGAAACGTTCATTATTCCCGTTGTTAAGCTATAATTTTTATTATTAAAAACAAATAATTTGCATTATTATTATTATTTAATAATAATTTATTATTATGAACAACTGGAAATTTATCAAAAAATCAAAACTCTTAAAAAATGGGTATCTAAATATCTATCATGTGTGTTGTAGCGAATTTCTGTAATCAAATATTTATTGTTCTTTAATGTTAATTTTTTAATGTTTCCAAAACAGTTGACGATAGGTTTAGGACATAGTACATATAATTAATATACGTCTACAATTTTTTAAAGAATCTAAAAATTAAATAATATACATATGCATTTGAAATAAGAAAGTTGGTATACTTATATATAAATATATTTATATAGGTAGCGAATGTGATTTTAATTAAAATGCCGATGTTTTCAATAGATTTTCCTGACTGCTGCAATTTTATAGTTTTTGAGAGTCGGCATTAGCTGCAGCTACATTCGGCATTAGTCGGCAGCTAAAAAACTTAAAAAAGTGCCTATAGTAGTAGGTAAATAATTTTAGGAAAATGCCGATTTTCTTTTAAATTACCTTCCTTAAAATTTAATTTAATCCGTTCGCATTTATTGAAATATATTATTTATTATCGGAACCTCGGAAAATGCCGACTCCGAAAAACTTGGGGGGGGGTACATAAAATATTAAACCCAGCACTCCATTTAAGTAACATTTTTATAAATTAAAAAATACTCCATTAAAGTGGGCCAATGCATTACATGGAAAGTTTTCACCACCTAAATCAGCGGTTCTTAACCTTTTTGGCTGGCGACCCACAATTCAAAAATATTAGAAGCTCGCGACCCGATAAAAAATAAAATCATCAATTTTCTACATTTTCTTAATTTAAATTAAGGATGCAGTGATTACGGCGCGCTTTTTTAAAAAGTCCCGCAAGTACCGCGACCCATCTCGATATGGCCCGCGACCCAAATTTGGGTCGCGACCCGAGGTTAAGAAACGATGACCTAAATAAACAGAAAACGCTTGTTCCAGGGCCGGATTAAGAGTTTTGAGGCCCTGGGGCCGACTTTTGGTGGGGGCCCTCAATATTTCTAAAAATGTTGACACTTGGGAAATTAAAATTCATGGTTAATTTTTAAGCTAGAGGAACTTTACGTGATTTTTTATTATCTTTGAATCATTTATTATTTAATAAACCATATAAATTTTAATAAAATCGGCCAAACCGTTTTTAAGCTATAAATAAAAAACGAAACACCCTGTATCTCGATAATGAAGCATTTTCGGACACGTGTTTATAGGAACTTTTTTTCATATTTTAATGAGAGGAATTTCCCCTGAGCTTTTGTCACCACAAGTCTGAATCACCCTGTATATTTTGAATAATACGAACATAACCTTATATACATTTTACCCAAGTCTGAGAAATTATAAATTCGTATGCAAAACTATAAAAACGTAGATAGTAGAATAGAATTGTGAATGAAAGTGTTTTTATATACTTTATATTTTATATATTTTGAATAATACGAACATACCCTTATATACATTTTACTCAAGTAAAATATAAATTGATCTATGTTTTGTTTGTATTTTTAATACTTACCGCAAACTGAAAAAAAAGTACATTAAAAGTCGTATTATTTGTCTGTTTTTCATACAAAATCAAACAATAAAACAATCTTTTGTTCATAGAAAAGCCCGAAACAGTATTTCGGAAACACCGGAAAATATTCCACAACACTCCAATGCAATGTACCAATAAACATCTGGGACAAAAACTAACTTTAATTGGTAATTGACTGTTTGCCTAAAGTGACCATTCGTCCTGGATTTTGCGGGATAGTCCCGGATTTTATTTACATGTCCCGCAAGAGTAAACGTCCCGGAAATGTCCCAAATTTGTCCCCATATGTGTTTTTACTAGAATAATTTCTTACACAAAATAACAAATTTGTAAAACTTATAATTATCACAAAATAAAAAAAAAGTTTCGGCTGCTCACAAGTAAAAAAATACTGAAGAAAAATTGCCTCAATTGACTAAAAAAGTTTCCATTGACAAAAGATGGGTTAAGATTTTTCAATATTTTCTCGTTCAAAATGTTCCCTTACATAATATTAAAAGAATTGTAGAATTATGCATGCCTACCAGCTGGTTCCTAGGAACTAATGCTCCCACCGAACGGGTATTTTCTGAAATAAATATAATGTGGACTTCATAGAAAACACTTCTGTCCGAGAATGCATTTTAAATATATAATAATATAATAATAAATATAATTTAGAGAATTCTTCTTGTGAAGAATGTTATAATTCTGTAAAAAATTATGACGGAAAATTTGTTTAAAAAGGAGTAATTTTCAAATATATATTTTTATATATAAAATTATAAAATTCTGCATGATGGAATGATATGAATATTATATTATTTGAATGATGATTGATGTAAACGATTTTCTGTTTTCTTGACCTTCCCCTCCCATCGCCTTCGTATCGACAAATTGCGCCTGCCTCGGACTATTCCGCTTTTGGCTGATTTTTATTGGCTTTGTTCCGGATTTTGACATTTTTGATGTGGTCACTTAATGTTTGCCTATATTTACAAAAACGTTACGACAAGCACTAAAGGAGCAACTGCTTAATTGTTATGAGTCATAACTTACGACTATAGACTATATGAAAACGTCTCCGCGCGCCAAAACTTTGAGTGTGATAATTTACATTCTGATTTGCAAGCGGATAAGCGATTAAAAATTCGCGAAAAATTAGAGTTAGATCTACGAAAAATTAATTGAAAATTATAGGATTCGCGCGGTATAACCGACCCAATTTTTTGTTTTTTTCGTCAATTTTTTTCATATTTGTTTCATTAAAAAGATACATATTGCATTGGTGGGGGCCCCTAAATGGTGGGGGCCCTGGGGCCGTGGCCCCGTTGGCCCCGTGCTAAATCCGGCTCTGGCTTGTACAAATAGATTTTTGATTTTAGGGGTAAAATATTGTAATTTTACCCCCTCAACTTCAACCCCTAAGGGTGGGTAATAGTTATCCCCAAAATGTTTAAGGTTTAATGTTCTTTTTGCCCTGATTATAACCTTCAAGTTTAAAGTCGGTTAACAAACTTAGTAAGCAGGATTGGGTGATGCCTTATTTTGAAGATCCAGTGCTGGATTAACCTATAGGCCAACCTAGGCCATGGCCTAGGGCGCCGCGAAGCCAATAGGCGCCCAGGCAGAAGGCTAAATTTTTTTTAGGTAGGTTGAATATTAAAATTAATCAATTAAACTTGGACGCCTTTCTGCAGAAGATAAATAACCCACAAAAATAAAAAATCGGGATATATGGGTTAATTATCTCGATTTTTATTTTATTTCTGTGGGTTGGTTCCCTTGTGCAGAAAGGCGTCAAAGTGACGAAATTTTATAGGTAAAATTCTGTTTTAGGTTATTTAAAAATTGTAAAAATTAAGTTAGTATTGTTTTTTTTCTATATAAAAATAAATGATTTATTTATTCATTTTATTGTATTT